TTCTCCTGCCTCAGCCTCCTGAGTAGCTGGGATTACAGGCACACACTATCATGCCCAGCTAATTTTTGTATTTTTAGTAGAGACGGGGTTTCACCTTGTTGACCAGGACGGTCTTGATCTCTTGACCTCGTGATCCACCCGCCTTGGCCTCCCAAAGTGCTGGGATTATAGGCGTGAGCCACCGCGCCCGGCCCCTTCATTATTCTTACAATATTTTATCATTAGGCCTAGGGGATTATTAGGGGTAATATTGTTGTTGCTAGCTTTATCCTTTTTACCCCTTACCCTACTTGGGGAATTTCCTGTTTTTAGGGTAAGACTCAGTTTCCCTTACCAGAAATGTCTTGCCTTTTTTTTTTTTCCTGTGACACCCCGACCAAGGAATAGTTCACCGCCCCTCCTGGGGTTCTCTTACCTTGGTCTGTCCCGACCACCAAGGAAATACTTTGCCGGGGGCATTTCCTTCCTTGGTTTGTGCAGATTTGCACTGTCGTGGTGATATGTGAGGATTCTTTACCTTAGATTGCCAGCTCGTTTCCTTCTGCGCTGCTGAGAGCATAGGCTTATTCCTCGCAGTGGGTCAGTCCTGACTTCTCACTCATGAGGCCACCACAATGTGGCCGCAGGAGTGTTCCTCCTCAGGAGAGAGAACCAGAGACAACCCCTGGAGGGGAATGGGGTCCGTGGAGGGGAATAGGGTCCCCGTACGGGTCACCAAGATTGTTACACGTAAAATTTTCTGTGCTGCAAAACAAGTAGCACTCGAATATCAATTTCCTCAGCAAGACAATTTACTTCTATAGAAGGGTGTGGCTCACAGATGGAACAATGGCGAGCGCACACCTGGACAAGGAGGGGAAGGAGTACTTATGTCTGATGGAGGTCGTCCCTGCTGCTGTGTCATTCCTTTATTGGCTAGAGTTAGATCGCACAGTCTAGTCTAATTCTGATTGGCTATTTTATTTATTTTATATATATATAGAGAGAGAGAGAGAGAGAGAGAATTTTATTTATTTTTATTGCATTTTAGGTTTTGGGGTACATGTGCAGAACATGCAAGACAGTGGCATAGGTACACACATGGCAGTGTGTTTTGCTTCCTTGATTGGCTATTTTAAAGAGATCCAGGGGTATGAGCCAGAGTGGTGGGGTGGATAGTTTGGTGGGAAGGATGGTCACAGGCAGGTCAGAGCAGGTAATTAGCGGTCACAGGCAGATGACTGGAGCAGGTAACCAGAATGAGTCAGGAAGGAGCAGGGGATGGGGAGCTACTGATTAGAACTACTGATATGAACTACTTACTAGAATTGGTGGAAAAGGTTGTTGAGTGAAACTACAAGGAAGTTAAACTTTTAAATGGAGAATTAAAGAATAAGAAAGCTGAAAATACACATACTGATTCTTTGAAGAGAAACGTGGGGTTCACTGTATCTAACACCATAGTGGCTGGGGAATCCAGTTTGCAGTTTTTCCAACACTTGCTGAACCAGGCCCATTGGCCCCTGCTCAGAGACATGAGCAACAACCAGTCAGTGCCCCTGCCACAAAAGTCTGAGTTGTAGCACCGAAGATGTCTCTGGCAGTTGCTACTTCCATGATACTATAGTGCAGTGGTTCTCATACTTTTTTTTTTTTTTTTTTGAGACAGTCTTGCTGTGTCGCACAGGCTGGAGTGCAGTGGTGCAATCTCAGCTCACTGCAACCTCCACCTCCTGGGTTCAAGCGATTCTCCTGCCTCAGTTTCCCGAGTAGCTGTGATTACAGGTGTGTGCCATAAGGCCCAGCTAATTTTTATATTTTTAGTAGAGACAGGGTTTGTCTATGTTAGCCAGGCTGGTCTTGAACTCCTGGACCTCAGGTGATCCACCCGCCTTGGCTTCCCAAAATGCTGGGATTATAGGCGTGAGCCACCTGTGCTCAGCTGATTCTCATACTTTTGTGTTGGTCAGAATCACCTGGAAGGGGTGACTGATCAAACACAGGTTGCTAGCCCCATCCCAAGGGTTTCTATTTCAGCAGGTCTGGGGTGGGGCCTGAGACAGTGCGCAGCTCCCAGATGCCACTGATGCTGCTGGTCCTGGGACCCTGTGGTTTGTTTTTTGTTTTTTGCCTGCTCAGTTAGTTACCTTTATGTGTAATGAATTTTTATATTAAGATCTGTTCAGGTGGCTGGTGGAGTTTATGCCTCCACACTAACAGTGATCAGGGCTTAGGCTGTCCCGGCCAATCCCTGTCCTTCATTTGGATTCTGGAATGGAAACCTAACAGAAGGTCTGTAGCTACCTTCCCCAGTGAATGCTCCCATTATTGTACCTCTTGGAAACTTTCCCATCCCTGCCCGTGACCCTAGCCTGCAAGGAGCACTGGCTGTGATGTCAGGGCTGTCACCCACAGCCAGGAAAACCGCCCTCCCACCCCTAACCCAAGTCCTGGGAATTCAGCTAAGGGGCCCGGGACTGCTTCAAAAGGCAGTCATTGGTCTGAGGGGAGAGGGCGGTCAGGGCATGAAGCTGTAGCTGCTGCTGCTGCTTCTGCAAAATCTAAGTACTGTGCTGTAGCCTGGAATCATATTTGTGACTAAAAAAAAAAAAAAAAAAAGACTGTGCAGCTGCAAGCAGTGCAGCTGATGACCCCACTGATCCACAAGGAGCACAGATTGAGGCTGCCAGATGGAGACAGTAACTGGAATTGCCTGTGCCTTTGGGGAATGGCCAGGGGCCCCTGTGGGGAACAATTCAGGCCAGCCTTTTACTGCTTCCACTAGTATGGAGAATGTCAAGGGGTCAGACTGTGTAGACATGTTGAGGCCATGCAGGAATGCAGGGAGAAATACCCAGATCTTTATCCCCAAGGTAAGGAAGAGGTAGAGGAAAAGCACACAAACATATAGAAGTAGCAGCTCCCCCTGAGACCACTGCAACCAAAGAGGAGGGGTCAAGTTAGTAAAGGCCACGGGACTCCAGTCCTTCCACTTCAGAGTGACACAGATCTATTGCAAAACGCCATTTAGTCACCCTCCAAGAAAGTACATTTCCCTCTGTGGTCCTGTAAACTGTAATGTACAAAATAATATATTTTGATGATCAGGGTTAGCCTTGACATGTACACTGAAAAAAATGGGAGCTGTTTATGTGTCCTGTATAAACCTGTCGGCAAATGTAGGCACCACTTTTGAATTCTCTTAGGTGGCCCTGAATTTTGCCACTTTGAAATAATATGCTAAGTAATCTCAGCAACCAAAAACCATTATCTGGGAATGCTTTTTGTGAGTGAGTGGATTTATTCTGATTCACTATATGTCTAAAATGTGGGGTGGGCCTGGGCAGGGTGGCTCATGCCTGTAATTCCAGCACTTTGGGAAGCCAAGGCAGGATGTCACTTGAGCCCAAGAATTTGAGTCTTAGTCTGGGCAACACAGTGAGACCTCATCCCTATAAAAAATAAAAAATTAGCTAGGTATGGTGATACATAACTCTAGCCCTAGCTACTCAGGAGGCTGAGGTGGGAGGATTCTTTGAGCCTGGTAGGTTGAGGCTGTAGTAAGCTGATTGTACCATGGCACTCCAGCCTGGGCAACAAAGCAAGACCCTGTCTCAAAAACTCTTCTCTACTACAAGAGGCCAAATGGTCGGATGCAAATTTCTCCAAACCTATCCTGACCTTGAGTATGTAAAGGGGTACTATAGTTCATTCCTGACATGTTTTGGTTTCCGTGTTTTCCATGCATTGAGTTCCAGGTTTTCTATTTGGATGGTGAAAATTTGGACCCTACCATTCACAGTACCTTCCTAAGTGTATGGAAAGGCTGGTTTTTGCTGTTCCTTGTTACTCTGAAAGCCCTGGTTTGGAGTCTGTGTTCACACTGGCTCTCAGTTTGATCAGATGCAATGTTCTTGAGAGGTGGGGACCTAATTGTTACCAAAGTTAAAGCCAAGAGAGGAAACTGTGAATTAAGTACTCAATTATGGCCGGGCACGGTAGCTCACACCTGTAATCCCAGTCCTTTGGGAGGCTGAGACAGGAGAATCACTTGAGGCCAGGAGTTCAAGACCAGCCTAGTCAACAAAGACCCCATTACAATAATAACATTTAAAGAAGAAAGTGTCCTCAATTAAAAGGAACCATGATTTCTACCTGGAAAAAACACAAAAGCAGTTTTGTGGGGTTTTTTTTTTTTTGGGTGGGGCGGGTAAAGATGATGTCTCACTATGTGGCCCAGGCTGGCTTCAAATTCTTGGGCTCAAGCAATCCTTGCATCTCAGCCTCTGAAGTAGCTGGGACTACAGGAATGTGCCAGTGCACCTGGCTGAAAGTTCGTGGAGGCGAGTAACTTAACTTGCTTTGGGATGGGATCAGAGTTTGCTGTTCAGCATTTCATTTTGGAGTTACTTCTGTAGATCAGAAACCTTGTCACATGGCATCATTTTCAGGGGCACATGGTACAGATAGTGCTAAACTCTGAAGCTAAACTGGCACCCAGGTTCACCATTTTTGTTGTTTTTGAGACAGTCATTCAGGCTGGGGTGCAATGGTGCGATCGCAGCTCACTGCAACCTCTACCTTCCAGACTCAAATAATCCTCCTGCCTCAGCCTCCCAAGTAGCTGGGACTACAGGTGTTGGCCACAACTGGCTAATGTTTGTAATTTTTGTAGAGATGGGGCTTTACCATGTTGCCCAGGCTGGTTTGAACTCCTGAGCTCAAGTGATCTGCCTTGCCTTGGCCTCCTAAAGTGCTGGGATTACAGGCGTGAGCCACTGCGCCCAGCCCTGGAATACAAATCTTTCATCACATTGTGACTGTGTTTTAGTAGCTTGGAGGCCCTTTAGTATGAACCTCAGCCCTGGGAGATTGGCTTCTTAGTGACAGTAGGAGAGAAGGCAAAGCATGGAACCATGAGGCAGTCTTTGTTCTTCTTATGGCAAACCCAAGCCATATAAACAGCCCAGTTGAAGGCTGCTGAACCACCCTTCTTATCTCCCTTTCTCTCTCCTTTCCAGTGATCCTGCCCCACATTGGCAGTGCCACCCACAGAACCCGTAACACCATGTCCTTGTTGGCAGCTAACAACTTGCTGGCTGGCCTGAGAGGGGAGCCGATGCCCAGCGAACTCAAGCTGTAGCCAAACACAGTAGAGATGGAGGGCTGGGAGGCAAACCGTGCTCTGGTATTCTGTCAGACACACTCAGGCTTGATTTGAACCCACAGAGCCAAGGGAAAGTCCAATTCTCCAAGGAAAGAATGGTGCTGAGAGATTACTTGTCACATTTGTGGTTGGACACACTGGAGCCAAAAGTATGTAATTAATTCTATTATTAAATAATCCTCTGAGAGACCGTCTTGGCCTGTAACTGGGGAAGATAACAGGCACATCTGGCTGGGCATGGTGATGCACCCCTGTAGTCCCAGCAACTCGGGAGGCTGAGCAGAGAGGATCCTTTGAGGTCAGTTCAAGGTTACAGTGTGCTACATACAATCACTCTGTAAACAGCCACTAAACTTACTTAACCTGGACAATGTAGTAAGGCCAGTTTCCTAAAAAAAAAAAAAAAAAAAAAACAAACTTTAAAAATACAAAGAGCATTTGCTTACCCCTTCAAAGTCACAGCATTCAGTGATCTGCCTGGCTCTGCTTCCTACCCCAGCCCTCAGCCCCGGGCATTTTCCTTATTGCAACCTGTCCAAACCACCTTACCCCTAATCTTCTGTGCCCAAATTCCTTCACTTGTTCCTCACCAGAAGAACCCAGTTGTGACCATGGCACTTGAATCTGATATCTAGACCATCCGGAAAATTAAAGAGCACTTCCAGAAAAGGAGAGAACTGGAAGAAATGAGAACTAGGTAAGGACCTAATACTTTTACTTTGGTCAAGAACAATTAAGAGGTAAGTGGGTTTCTTTCAAAACTAATTTCAGTACCTACGCACATTGTTCCCTTTCCCCATCTTGTCCTTCTCCAGCCCCTCCCTGCCCCAGGTAGATTTTTTTGGTTCAATTTTGCTCTGTCGCCATGCTGGAGTGCAGTGGTTTGATCTCAGCTCACTGCAACCTCTGCCTCCTGGGTTGATGCAGTGCTCCTGCCTCAGCCTCCCTCGTAGCTGGGACTATAGGCATGTGCCACCACGCCCAGATAATTTTTGTATTTTTAGTAGAGACAGGGTTTCACCATGTTGGCCAGGATGGTCTCAAACTCTTGACCTTGTGATCTACCCACCATGGCCTCCCAAAGTACTGACATCACAGGTGTGAGCCACCGTGCCTGGCTGGATGTTTTTTTTAAAATCACCACCTTACCTACTCCTCTCCAAGGTCAGGCCACAGCACTACCATTGACAAAGCCCAGCTCTGTGCTCAAAGAATCAGCTTCCAGCTCTTCCCCATTGCCAAGCCAAACTGGTAGATGGGAGTTTCCAACTTGGGAGGCAGGTTGAGGGAGTAGCACAAGATTACGCAGACATTCCAAGAGCAACTGGGTAGGCTGATAACCAAAATCTCATGCATGTCCATAGCTCAAAGACAAAAAAGGAAAGCGGGGGATGGCAGAAGGGAATGATTTGCGAGGAACAATCAATAACTTTATTTTTTGTTTTTGAGATGAAGTCTCGCTCTTGTAGCCCAGGCTGGAGTGCAATGGCGCGATCTCAGCTCACTGCAGCCTCTGCCTCTGCCTCCCAGGTTCAAGCAATTCTCCTGCCTCAGCCTCCCAAGTAGCTGGGATTACATACGCATGCCATCACACCCAGCTAATTTTTCTATATTTAGTAGAGACGGGTTTCATCATGCTGGCCAGGCTGGTCTCAAACTCCTGACCTCAGGCGATCTGCCCACCTCAACCTCCCAAAGTGCTGGGATTACAGGTGTGAGCCACCACACCCAGCCTGCTAATAGAGGACAGCATTATTTTCTAGGTTAGCAAAGAGGTATTACCCTCTTTTGTTTCAACCTTAACCTAAACAAAGAAAAAGAACACATATTTAGAGGCATGAATATGACAAATTTTTTATTTCAAAATCTCAAGTTGTAACCAGCATAGCACCACTGACACGGATGCCTTGATAGAGCTTTATGATCTGATCACCAGAAAAGATTCTACATGATCATGCCAGACTATAATTAAGGCTAACCAATCAAAATTCAGGTACCCAATACCAGTTATAATCCAGGTAGAGACTACACATCATAGGAACCCTGGGACTGGTTTCCCAGGGAACCCTGGAAGAATTTTTTAGGTGCTACAGCATGTACAAGGACACTGGTCCACAAGCTTGCTTCTCACACATAGAAACTGACCGACTAAGAGGTAGATGAGAAATTCCAGGTTCCATCTAGCAGTGGAGAGGCAGAGCTCCAACACGTATCAGAGATAAGCCCCCAAAGCAAAGTCCACTTAGCTTCAGCAGAGTTGAGTGGGCAGGCTCCTGGCACTCCAAATGGAAGGAAGGAGGCCTGCACCGCTCTGCCTGTGTCACTGGCTCCTCTCCCTGGGTCTAGGGAGGGCCTCTCTTCTTTTCTCCAGGCTAACCACCTGTGTCCCAAGGTTAATATCACAAGACACTGGTCCCTACATCATGTAGAGGGTAGATGTGGAACCTTCTAATCCCATGTCAGACATAACTGCTAACAAGGAGCCACACATGACACAATTTTACAGGTGACCCCCCATATCCTCCAATAGGCTCTTTCCCACATCTACTTGAAAGGAATCACAGGTTTTCCTCTGGGCTTGTTTTCCTGGGAATCAGTCCATAGGAGATGCCAAGCCCCCCGGAACATGAAATTATCCACAGATGTGTAACTGCACACTCTAGATTAACAGGAGAGAAAACACGCAATTTTTGCTTCCAGCTATACATACCTTTCTGAACACAAACTGAATTTATCTGAATTATGCATGATGGTTTGGTATCTCTAAGCTATAGAAAACAAAATGAACTCATGTTCATGTATGAATTAAACTGATTTCATGAGTGCTAGAGAGATGCATTAACCTGTGCTGTTCCCCTGGATGCACACTTGCCCTCACACAGATGCCTCGGTGTGAGTGTCAGAGGACAGTAATGTGAGCCTGTAGGGCCCAGAGATGCCCTGGCCTCCAACAGTCTCAGATGCTACTTGATTCCTTCTATGCTATGGGCTGCCTAACTCTCTAGCCTGGAAAATATTCATGCATGAACTATGAAATCCATGTTTGGATTTCAACAATTTTAAACATTTGGTATCAGATTGGGGGAGCAACAAATAAAATTTAGGGTCCCTACTGTTAAGTTTAGTACGTAACAGTAATAAAACCCATGGGGACATTTTTGGTTAATTTGTCATCGAAAACGGTAACCTAAACCTGGGAGAGATGCTAATGGGGAGAGGAGTGTGAAGAAGTGGAGAACAGGCTTGTCCTTGGGTAGGATCTGTGAGCCTAGAATGGCCCTCAACATTTGGATGGAGCAACAGGTAAATGTGCCGTGAAAGACCCCACAAAACATGACTCCACATCATCAGAACAAAGACAAAAACACAAGCTGTTTTCTGACTTCCTAACGTGGAACTGTAACTTCAGTAATACAAGTTGGTTAAAATACTGCTAAAACAGCACATACAGAAACAATACCTTGTCACTCTCTACAAGTACATACTCCATTTACAATTTTGTTTTTAAACCAGAAAAAAAAACTGTTAAAACATTTGTCCAACAGTGATGTATTTAAAAGTATATACACCTAATAGTCCAAGAGAATGCTCACTCTGGACCCAGTGTCAGCACCAAGCTGCAGTGTCTGTGACTGCAAATCAGGTAAAAATAAAAAATACAGTACTTTCTGAGGCCTAGGACTAGCTCATGATACACTTTAAAGCATTTGTGGCAGATAGGCGTGTCCTCAAAGGCCTTCCTTTTAGACAGGCACCAAATCACCACTGGTTACACATAAGTGCATTTTGCATCACTGTACAGGGATATAATATTCCCATCAGAAGGTATAGGAAATTTAAATGCTACATAGTTTTACAAAAATTGCTAAAAAAACTTTTTTTCACTTCGATTTTTAAATTTCTAAATGTGCCACTTTTACCATCAATTACAAACTATTTTCTGACTGCATTACTCAACCCTAAGGAAGAACCTGGTTTCAGGGATTGCATCCCTTTCCCAAGATGTGCACTTCACTCAGAAATGCGGCAGCACAAATACTACACATTAGTTCTCCAGTTATTAGTTGCTGAACTGTTTAGGAGCCACTGGGCAGCTGAAAGCCTCGAACCCAAAGGCATTAATTGCTTACCAAAAGAAATTCAGTCCGACAACTGGCCTCAGCATTGTCTTGGGAGGACAAACAGCTAGAGCAAAGTGCTGGGAAGATTGCTGCTCTGCCAGCGCAGGCAGGTAGTCTTTGAGTGCTTATACAGGTGGCTGGACTGACTAAACCTCTTGCCACACTTCAGGCAGGCATAGGGCTTTTCACCTGTGTGAACACGGATGTGCTTCTTGCAATCTGTCAAAGTCAGAAAAGTTTTGCAGCAGATTTTGCAGGCATACTTGCGAGCTCCCTCTACAACCAAAACATTGTGCTCTGATAAGGCCTTCTTACACTTTGACAGGACATCAGCAGATGCCCTGGTCAACTGTGGAGGGCCAGACTGGGAAGGATGGCCATTTTCAAATGAGGATGTAGCTCCATTCATCATTAGCTGGGAACTGGGAGAGTTTTCTGGGATCTGTGAGCTCCTGACGGAAGTTACAACTGGCATTTTGGGAGCTATGCGGCGGTAGTATGGAAAGTTACTGGCTGCTCCCCTTGGGGAACCTATCATTACCCTGGAGAATGAGGAGTGGAGGCCCAAACTAGACCTGGAAAAGTCCATCCCAAACTGTTCTCCTTGGTAGCCTGAAGTCTGCACACACGGCAGGCCCATCACCTCCTGCATAGGCCTGACGAAGTGGGAGTCTGTAGGTTCACTAAATGGGTTCTCTACATGGGAGCCAGGGGCAGAGGAGGGGCCACCTGCAGGCCCAGCCTCTGGACTCAACAAATAGGGGGCCTCGCTCTCCAGCCTGCAGTCACTAGTGGTATTTGGGATATTATCATCATTGTTCTGATTTGCAGTAAAGTTATTTCCTCTGCTCTTGTTAAGAAAGTTTGAAATACTAAAAGTGGACTTATGCTCTAGGTTATTTGTGACTTCCAAAATGTGGATATCACCTACCCTGTCTGTGCTAGACTGGGGATCTGAAAAACTCCGATCACTGCTTTCAGGGCTGAGGTCTATCTTCTCAGCACTGACCACAACTCCTTCCACTTCCACAGACTCACTGCCTTCTGCTTGTGAGGTCACATCACTCACTTCATCCTGAGGCTCAGGCGAGCTCAGGGGCTCAGATTTAACTACCACTCTCATGTGCTCCTTCTCACTGAGGCCAACCTCAGGATTTTCACACTGAAAACTACTTTTCTCAGTTGCAGCTTCCTGATCAAAACTAGTCTCAACCTGAGTTGCACGAGAGGCCATAGACAACTGTGCCATGTTGCCAGCACTGTTGTCAGACTGGCTGGGCACCTGGGCATCTTCTTGAGTGCCAAAAGACTGATCAAATATGATAGCACTGTCTTCCTGGTTATCAGTCATTCCATCGGCTTTAGGATTATCCACAATTTTGAGAGAATCTGGTGAAAAGAACTCCTCCCGAGAATGAACCCCCGGAGGCCCATTCTCTGGTGTAACATCTGAAATGGCAGACTCTTCCATGGAGGGTCGCAGGCGCTGCCTGGCCCGCTCCTCTGCAGACTGCTTGCGCTTATGAAGACGTCTCATGGGGAAGGGCGTGCGCTGATCCAGGTTACTGCGCATGGAAGAGCTCATGGGGGCTGGCTGCTCCTCACCAGTCTGGCTGGAATTGAGGGCTGAACTCACGATGCTTAGTCCCAGCTGCTGTAACATAAAGGAGCGCTGCATGCGGGCGCTCTGCTCCTGAACACGCTCACTGGGGGGAGACATGGGCAGCGTCCTTGTTGTTAGGTAATGTTTACATGCCTTAACAACAGAGTTCAAATGCAGGTGAGAGGCTGCCAATAAGACATCCATAACATTGCTCTCCCCTAGCATGAGGGTGGAGGTATACATCATGTCAATCAGTGCAGCAAAGGCCTCTGCTGTCACCACCTCGCTATCCAGCTGGATCATGTTCATGGTCTGATCTCCTTCTGCCACTGAGAACAGTGCTCGGAAATGTGTGCTGCATGCTGCTAGCACGGAGCGGTGGGCTTTAAAGTGTCTATTCCCCACTACAATGACACAATCACAGAGCTGGCCATGAAGTCTCTGGTAGTTCAGCTGCTGGAAGATTTGTTCAAAGTGACCAGGAAAATCCATGATCCTACAGGAAAACAAAGAAAACGTTAAGACCTAGAAAAGCTTCAGTCAAAGTCAGAACATAAAGGGTGTGATGAAAAGAGTGGAAAGGATGGCCAAGCGTGGACCTTTGAAACCTGTGATATCTCTGATGATGGGCACATACACTGAGAGTGTGTCATATAAGGAGCAAATGCCAATTCAGCCATCAGCCCAGCAGACATGCACACATGTGGGCTCTGCTACTGACAGGGTCCCCTCCCCTTTACTATTCGTATGAGCCACATATACCACTGAGGGTCTAAGTTAGTAAAGACCAGTGTGTGAGTGATGGCATATCTATCCCACAGAAGTTTGTTAGAGTTCCACATTCCCTCAGGATGAGGAATGAATGCCAAGAAATTCCAAAGTCTTAGTAACCTTAAACAAGCAAGAAGAGCAAGTCAGTATTAGTGTGGAAGATTTCCAGTTATAGATGGTAGCAGATTGCAAACACATTTGCCCCTGCTTATTCCTGAAACCGCACTAAAAAGACACTAAGCCGGGCATGGTGGCTCACGCCTGTTAATCCCAGTACTTTGGGATCCCAAGGTGGGCAGATTACCTGAGGTCAGGAGTTTGAGACCAGCCTGACCAACATGGTAAAACCGAGTCTCTACTAAATATACAAAAAATTAGCCAGGCATGGTGGCAAATGCCTATAATCCCAGCTACTCGGGAGGCTGAGGCAGAAGAATTGCTTGAACTCAGGAGGCAGAGATTGCAGTGAGCCAAGACTGCGCCCCTGCACTCCAGCCTGGGCGACAGAGCAAGACTTCATCTCAAAAAAAAAAAAAAAACACTAGGGCCAGGTGTGGTGGCTCACGCCTGTAATCCCAGCACTTTGGGAGGCCAAGGCAGGTGGATCAAGAGGTCAAGAGATCGAGACCATCGTGGTCAACATGGTGAAACCCTGTCTCTACTAAAAATACAAAAAATTAGCTGGGCATGGTGGTGCATGCCTGTAATCCCAGCTACTCAGGAGGCTGAGGCAGGAGAATTGCCTGAACCCAGGAGGCGGAGGTTGCAGTGAGCCGAGATCCCACCATTGCACTCCAGCCTGGGTAACAAGAGCAAAACTCCGTCTCAAAAAAACAGACACTAAAGTTTTTTGGTTTAGTTGTTGTTTTAAAGGTATAAACCCACAAGAAAAAAGAAAATGAGGCAGCCTTCAATAGCATTCTGAAAGCTGGGGAGCAGGTAATTGAGTGCTAAGTGACTGAGCACACCCCAAAAGCTAAAATCCTAAACTGGCAGTGGATAAAACAACCTGACATAGAAATCCCTTTCCTGAAGCCAAGGAACTGGTTGCCCTTGCCAGGGAAAATGGATTGAAGGTGTGGCTAAGACAGGAACCCTGGCTGAAAATCTATCCAATAAAAAATAAAACAAACCCTAAGCCAGATGCCAGTGGCTCATGCTTGTAATCCTAGCACTTTTGGAGGCTGAGGGGGGTGGATCACCTGAGCTTCAGGAGTTTGAGACCAGCCTGGGCAACAAGGTGAAACCCTGTCTACCAAAAATAGAAAAAATTAGCCAGGCGTGATGGTGTGTGCCTGCGGTCCCAGCTACTCAGGAGGCTGAAGGGGAAGGAGGGGAGAATCACTTGAGCCTGGGAGGTGGAAGTTACAGTCAACAGAGATCACATCGCTGCAGCACTCCAACCTGGGTGACAGAATGAGACCTGTCTCAAAAAAGCCAAGCATGGTGGCATGCATCTGTGGTCCCAGCTACTTGGGAGGCTGAGGTGGAAGGATCACTTGACCCTGGGAAGTCGAGGCTTCCGTGAACTCTGACTGTGCCACAATACTCCAGTGTAAGCAACAGAGCAGGATCCTGTCTCAAATAATAAAATAAAAATACGTGAATGAATAAGAAAAAGGGAAGGAATTAATCAGGTCCAACATCTGACTACAGAAAGAGAAAAGGCAGAATAGAGGGGGAAAATGATATAAGACATGGTATTTTTAAAAATTCTGAGAACCGAAGAAATCTGCTTATTAAAACTAGCAAGGCCCAACAAGCACTCAACAGTATGAATGAAGATACAAATTCCCACACTAGGCTGATATCCCGAATAAAATTGGCATTCATCTTTGCCACAGCAGCACTGAAAGCTAGAAGATGACAGTTCCTTCAAAATTATTCAAGATAGTAATTTCCAACTTAGAATTCCACACCCAACCAAAATATTCATCAATTATGACAGTAAGCTAAGGCATCTTCAGATAAGAACCAAAGGTTTGCTGGGCACGATGGCTCAAGCCTGTAACCTCAGCACTTTGGGAGGCTGAGGCGGGTAGATCATGAGGTCAAGAGATCGAAACCATCCTTGTCAACATGGTGAAACCCCGTCTCTACTAAAATTACAAAAAATTAACTGGGCACGGTGGCACGTGCCTGTAATCCCAGCTACTGAGGAGGCTGAGGCAGGAGAATTGCCTGAACCCAGGAGGCGGGAGGATGTGGTGAGCCGAGATCGCGCCACTGCACTCCAGCCTGGGTAACAAGAGCGAAACTCTGTCTCAAAAAATAAAATAAAAAAAGAACCAAAGGTTTATCCTTTCTCAAGAGGCGACTAAGATGGTAGGAAACAGAGACCCACCAGAGAAGACAGGCAAAGGGAATCCCAAGAATGATGATGAAGCCCAAGATAACAATTAGGCAGGCCTGGAGAGCAAAAGCAGTCAGACTGGAGCAGGAAGGACTTCAAGGAGCGGGTCTCCAAGGAGGGTGGAAAAAAGGAATGGGTTTAGAATCTACCAGTTCTATCAAAATGCAAAGATAGGTCATTAAAAAAACAAGAAGGACCAGGAGCAGAGGTTCATGCCTGTAATCCCAGCACTTTGGGAGGTGAGGCAGGCAGATCACAAGGTCAGGCGTTTGAGACCAGCCTGACCAATATGGTGAAACCCCATCTCTACTAAAAATACACAAGTTAGCTGAGTGTGGTCGTGCTCGCCTGTAATCCCAGCTACTCAGGAGGCTAAGGCAGGAGAATGGTTTAAACCCGGGATGCAGAGGTTGCAGTGAGCTGAGATCACGCCACCGTACTCCATCCTGGGCGACAGAGCCTGACTCTGTCTCAAAAAAAAAAAAAAAAGCCGGGTGTGGTGGCTCACGCCTGTAATCCCAATACTTTGGGAGGCCGAGGCGGGAAGATCATGAGGTCAGGAATTCAAGACGGGCCTGGCCAACATGGTGTTGTTGTACAAAACGATTTGTACAAAAAATACAAAAATTAGCCAGACATAGTGGTGGGTGCCTGTAATCTCAGCTACTCATGAGACTGAGGCAGGAGAATCACTTGAATGTGGGAGGCAGAGGTTGCAGTGAGCTGAGATCCTGCCATTGCACTCCATCCTGGGCAACAAGAGCAAGATTCTGTCTCAAAAAAACAAAAACCAAAACAAAACAAAAACGAGAAAATTTAAAATGGAGCAATGATTAACTCCAGGAAAAAAAAAAGACTGTTTACTTGTAGGATACAATATGTAGTTCATTTGTAGGCAATATTTACACAGTCATAAAATATGTACACTAAACCAAATGTGAGATATTGGGATGAGGAGAGAAAGCAACTTTGCATGGGGGGAGGGGACATAGGAGAAATGGTATAATAAAGTTAAATCCTCACTTTCCTTATTAGTCTAGAAATACAGCCTGAAATAGTTTCTCTCAAAAAATAGTAATATAAGCATGTTATTTAGAAATACAGAAGTTGGCCAAACATGGTGACTCATGCCTGTAATCCCAGCACTTTGGGAGGCCAAGGTTGGTGGGTCCCTTAAGCCCAGGAGTTTGAGACCAGCCTGGACAACATGGTGAAACCCCATCTCTTACTAAAAATACAAAAACAATTAGCCGGGCATGGTGGCGCATGCCTGTAGTCCCAGCTACTGGGAGGCTGAGGTGGGAGGATCACCTGAGCCCGGAGTCAGCGGCTGCCATGAGCAGAGATCACGCCACGGCACTCTAACCTGGGAGACAGAGTGAGACCCTGTCTTAAAACAAAAAAAAAAGAAATACATAAGTCAACAGTAGAAGAAATAGCTGAAGTAACTGAAAGTGGTTGCCTCTGGGAGTGGGTTATTGATGGGGAAAAGGATGGGACAGGGGACTGCTGTTTTGTTTCTTTTTACCTATAAGCCTTATGGAACTACATGGTTTTAAAAATATAAATGTAGGCTGGGTGTAGTGGCTCACGCCTGTAATCCTAACCCTTTGGGAGGCTGAAATGGGCGAACTGCTTGAGCTCAGGAGTTCGAGACCAGCCTAGGCAGCAGGGCAAAACCCCATCTCAACTAAAAATACAAAAAGTAGCCAGGCATGGTGGCAAGTGCCCGCCATGTAGTTCCAGTCTATTTGGGAGGCTAAACGGGAGGACTGCTTCAGCCTAGGAGGCGGCAGTTGCAGAGAGCTGAGATCACATCACTGTACTCCAACCTGGGTGACAAAGCAAGTCTTTGTCTCAAATAAATACATAAAAATGTATACAAATACACAAATCAAATTTTAAAAAACATGGTAGATCCATGACATTCTAAAGGGATACACCTGAGGTCTTTGCAAATCTCCAAAATTCACAAATACCATTATGGCATTTCATAAGAAGGCAGCATGAGTGCCAAGTGGCTCCCCAGGCCCAACCACTTGCTCTGATGCCCCAGCCTTACAGGCCAGGATCCTAGAAAATAACTGAAATGGCAAAGTCTAAGTCCACAAAACCCAAGGGTCTACTGTGGCAACTGAGACTATTTATTATGCTATTCTGGTATACCTTGAAAGTTAACTATTGGAAAAGCAAAATGCCTCAAAGCAGAAGCTACATGTCGGCCATATTCTTCTGCCTCCAATGTTTGTTCACCTTTGATGAATTTCCAACAACAAAATAGATCACTAAAATACACACTTTCCCACTGAGGTGTCTGCTCTTTGCTATCACGTATGAGAGATCAGATCTCCAAAGATGCAGCTACCGCCACA